TATATATATATATATATATATATATATATATATATATATATATATATATATATATATATATATCAGAAATATTAGATAGATCAGAATTAATGAATCACCTAAGTATCTTGTTTTGTACTCCGGTTTTATCCTTCAAAGTATATTGCCGTGTAAGTTGGAGAGCATTGTTTGCAAGTCGGCCAATATAAATCCGAATAATGAGAACGACATTCGGTGGTGGTATTTGCACATCTTACGTAAGTATCCGGGTAAAGTGCGTTTAAGAAGTGCTCGCACTAGATGAGAGCATTTATAGATATCTAGTGCACATTGTGTGCAAGTAATACATGATTCGCGGATACATGATACGTTGATATGTCAGAACGTATATAAGAAAAAAGAAGTACATAAAACGGAACGGATGGTACTGCAGAACAGATCGATAACCGACCAATTAGCTGCCTTTGATACTAGATACGTAAAACCGCGTAAATAGGCCGCTTTTCTCGCCGAATTGCTCGGTGAGATATGGCTGAACTGTGCAGTCCGCGTGCAAGAGCTGCGAACCACGCGAAAGCTACTCGTTGTCGTCGCACAATATAAAAGTTTCCCTTGAAATGGCACGCTAAACTGCGCCGCAGTCCGCGGAATATCTCGCCACTAGTGAACTCTATATTATATTAGAAAGAGAACTACCATGCTTAGCCTGTATACCAAAAGAAAAGAAACTGAAGTAGATGAGGCTCTACCATCTCTGTCCTTGTCTAGTAAATTTTGATTTGTCAATCGTTTTCTATGTTCTTTATTGCAAACAATAGTTTTATTAACTTTTTTCGGCTTGATCGACTTCAAATAGGCTATCAAACAGTCAAATACATATGACTGCACTTCGGCTTTAATTAGCGCTCGCCAAATGCTTACATTGCTGTACGTTGAGCTTAATTGATAAGATGAAAGTAACATGCATCTTTTCATCTTGTTTTATCAATATTTATATAATTACAATTATTTCATATAGTTTAATCTATTACACACATTACATACGCGACACGCGCACACAAATTTTTCTCTTTCCAGTATAGCATAGAATTCACTGTTCGTCACCAACGACTTATTTAGCACCGTCTGTCATTAACTTATCTAACATTAATACAATGATCGCGCAAACATCGCTTTTTCACACGTATCTCTTCACATCATCGTCGAAGCTCTCGCGACTCCAATAGCGCTAATTTCGACACAAAATGCTCACTAAAAAAACGAAAAAAAAATACTTGTATATTCTTGCACTGCACTTGCCAGATAAGTCACGCAATTCATGTCCTTATCAAATCTTATTATGCTATGTGGCCGTGTTTGAAAAATTATTCCTTACGTACTTAATAATTACGTATGCATAAATACATTTATCATACATACATGTATACAAACATACCTACACACACGCAACATATATTCATAAAAACATACATTCATAAAAACATACACATATACATATACACACACATTATACATACCACAAACAAACAACCATACACACACACACAATATATGCATACAAATACATACATATTAACTATGGCAGTCTGTCAAAATGCGCGCGTTCATATAACTAACAAGCGCCTGGTTCAAAGTGTTCTATAAACGGAACGATGTTAGCATTTTATGAGACGATCTCGCGACCGTTGGCAAAGTAAATTATTGTACTGACCAATTTTTTGTTGGTTATTCAGCGTTAACTAACTCTGGCACTGCACTAACGTTAATACCGTTTCTAAGCGCGGTGCGATAAAGTTCTCTTATGTTTTACACTTATCGTACGTATTTCTCATAGCATAAATATTATCGGTTTTTGTACAAATTCCACATAAAATGGTACCAGTAACATAATACAATTATACTTGACATAACTAGAAATTACATTTCCAAAACAGTATCTTTTTTTATATGTAAGTTTGAGATAAAAAAAGGAGATATCCTACAGCTTGTTTCTTTTCGCAACGATCTCACAAACTTTTTTGCAGCTCATTGCGCAAGAAAAAATGTATAAAAAGACGATAAATAACGAAATAGAATTCGTTCGTCGTGCTTTATAAAACTTCTGCTCTTAATCAGCTGCAAATTGTGATTTCAAAATTGATTATGGATGTGTTGTAAATCACATCTCTATAATCTGGACATGTATATAAATTTCTCTACTTAAGAACTACGGATTGCCGTTATTTGTTCTAGTTTCAAAATATTCGCCTCAGTTACGCTTACGTCACATCTCGATATTTTATTTCTAAAGGTAAAAATAAAATATCGTTCTTTGCTAATATTTTTTCTTTCTAACGTCTCGATAAGACGCTACAAAAAATATGGCAGTGCATCACGATTAATAGCAAACTGTAGGATCGTAAGATCATTGAAAGAGAGCATAGTATTAATCGTAACGCGTAAGGCTCATAGAAAATCATGGTACAAGTGCCATTATCGATTACTTGGAGCATGAGTGTGAAATATATACTGTATGTTTCTTTTAGAGCAACTATTCGACAACTGGTCTAATTGAAAACTCGGACGTAAGTACGTAAATTATCGAATTTTTTGCGAGGATAAAGTCAAGACGAGTATCCGCGATTATTCTTCACCGAAATTTTAACCTCATCTCATTCCCATTTTTACTAGCTTATCGATTCTTTATCTCGAGTTATTAATCCCTTTATTCCAAAATATCATCCCTCTCTGCCCCTTTAAACTATTGCAAATAAAAAAACTGATATGATTCTGAATAATATTGACTTACATACGTCGTAATCATCCAATCTTCGCGTAACTATTTTCATTTTGCACTTGTAGAAATTTTTTCCTCAGACGCGTCACGATTATACGTAATCGTATGTTTGTAAGTTGGCATACAAATGTTTTCCTGTATTTAAATGCACACATGTCGTGTGTTCTTGTCTACAATCGTAGACAAATTCACTCATGAAAGAAAAGAAGAAGGACAACTATACAGATCGAACTAGGCTTCAAGTACGGGATCTACTCTGGTAAGACGATCGCTTGAGAAATTGCTTTTGTCGCATCTGTAGAAAAAACGTTGACTGTGCGCACAATCGCAAATTTAATAACGATAGACTTAAACTCGTACTTAAATGTCGAACTTACCGTTTGTATTGATCCGCATTCCTCAATTGACAATGCGTACAATTCCGGCTTGGCATTGTCTGTCATTGAGACAATTGGCCATCAACGCAACGCAGACCCCGTAATTGAAGATGGTGATTTTAATCTTTACAATCGCACACGCGTGACGGCAGTGATAGCTTGGATATGGTGTCATGTGCATGTCGGTATATCGGCCAGCAACTTCCCGATCCGCGAACTGAATTTCGGTATCGTTAGTCGATATATTTTTCTCATCGAGTGCTACTAAGAAACTAATCGAATTTAAAGCATGTCGGTGGTTACAGTACCACGGCTCGTAGTCGCGGAATCGACGGGTATTTATCTAAATTAATGCTGTCGGTATAAAAATAATATCTGTACACCTGCGCACTCGCGAACAGTCATTCGGTATACAAATACTTCTTTAATATTCCAAGTACTTGGATGCCTGGAAAGTACCCGAACACTGGATCAATATTGAAACTATAGCAACTGACCATTGGCCGACTAATATTTGCTGCTAGAGTACAAATATACTAGGGTTTTTCGATATTTCAAGTCAATTTTCTATATAAACAAAAAAGCAATGTGGATAATTGCTGTCTGCAATTAGATTCTCCGATTGTTAAATTTCAGCGACAAATACAGCTATCGATTGTGTCTGCATTAAGCTAGTACTTTCCCGGCAGAGCTTGTCGATATAACTTGACAGCAAACTGACGACAATAATCGAGAAAAGTCTGATAATGATCTGACGTATTCTAATAGCAGTAATAGTAATAATAATAGTAGTAGTAGCAACAGACTTAATAATATTTGTAACACAAGATCTGTATCAACAGATTCCACTGTCCAAAACTGCAGAGAGTTAACCGATGTTGCGATCTCGAAATATCTAAGAAACCCAAGTGAGATAACAGGTTCATTTAGCCGGATGCCAACAGCATTAATTTTAAACGCTAAACTTTTCACGCGCACGCAACTATCGATTTTTCCTCTTACCTCTGTTAGAATAATCCGATTCCAACAAAGCCTTACAAGTTAAAAGGAAAGAAAACAAATCTTCCCTTGCGGCCAGCGATTTAGAAAATTAATCGGGATGTTCCTAATGAGAAGAAAAATGCTTACTAGTGTACGCGTGATAGGTTGGTGGTGTTGGTCACGTTCTCGCTACCTCGTGAAACATCTCGGATATCCTGAAGATTCTCCGTAGATCGTGTGACACGCGTAGAATAGATAGATGCGGCATGAAATGTTGACGACTGTGACTAGGGAGGTAAGACGTCCAGCTTTAGACCTATCTTCGGCTTGCAGAAGCCGCAGTAACCGCCGCACTTGCCGAAGATTCGCTGATTATTCTGAGGAATATAAACATAATGTTAATATTTAAAACATTCGAAAATTATAATATAATATAGAAATAATACAGAAATCACTCGACGACCATTCTGCTCGTTCAAGTGTTTTAGCTTTGGCGATGGAGAATGTTAACATAAGACAAAGGAATATTTGAGATTTTGTGCGTGTATATAGTTGTTATATAAAGAAATCGTTCTGTTCCTTTAGAAATTGATTCCTTACGATCTTATTAATCGCAAGAGAAGCGCTTGAGGTGTCCGGGATCCATGCGACTTCCGATGATAAACTTAGAGCAGTTCCTGTCAGATCAATGCTGAAGCGACCCTGCGGGCACTTAGCAAGACTGTAACAATCACCGGCCTTACCATACTCTACGCGTTTTATCCCGTGCGTCCATGAGAACGTATAATCGTTTGCTAAAAACATAAAAAAAAATCTAAAAAATGTGCATAATAAATATATAATAAATGTCAAAGATACATATTTTGTGAGTGTAAACGAGCATTCTATATAAAAAAAAAAACTTTCTTAAATTTCCGCAATAATTCACCTATAATGTAGAGTCTCACAGGATCTATGCGTACTCTCTTGAACATCGTTTTGCCAGAAATCGTTGAAAATTCAGACACGCAACTAGTGCAACTGTCATTCCTCTGGCCATTGAATGGACACACGTGTGGATTTCTTAACCTGATTCACGCGTTGAAGTAAAAAAATTAATTTTTACTTAATTATTACAATAAAGTAAACTGTCATTCATCCCAAATAATAAGTAGACGAAATATTTTAGATAAACAGACATATGATTCAAAAGCAGATTAGCCCTAGCGAAAATAAAAATTGGAAAGTAAATAAAGTGTAAACGAAGAGTGATGGAAGTATAAATGAAGCGCTTACAAAGCGTAAATTGAAACATCGGAACGTAAAGCAAACGGGTACGCTTGCTTTACGTTCCGATGTTTCAATTTACGCTTTGTAAGCGCTTCACTTACACTTTCATCACTCTTCGTTTACACTTTATTTACTCTCCAATTTCTATTTTCACCAAGGAAGGAAACCTTTATCCTCAAGTATTTCAATTCAAACGACTACTCAGACAAACTAATCGTCCAACAGTATAACCAAACACATTTTTCTATTTATTAATGAAAGATAAAAATTTCCTCCGATAAACGTATATGAAATACACGTAGTAGCTTTAGTAGCTCACCTTTTGTTGTAGATTTCCGCATAGTTTTCACTTTGACCAGCTGGTAGCGTCAAGTATTCACGTGGCTCGGCGCTCGACATCCCGTGGCAATAGATTGTCATATTTTTACCACCGATCAATAATGAATATTCACCATCAGTGGTGGTTCGGTGACGTTTCTGAATTTCTAGACAGGAGGTTGGTCCGCACCTTCTCTGATTGCACTTGCGCTTTCGTTGCGGCTTGAATTCCATCGGGCAATAGTATCGCGCGACTTTCTTACCGGTTCTGTCGTGGCAATAGAGTCTACGATTTTGTCGGCCTTTGCGTCCACAAGGATGGCTGCACTAAAGTAAATAAACCAAGAAAAGACGTGAAGATGGATTTACGATTTCAGAAATTAGACGGAATTAGAAAAATTCGTCTTATTTACCTTCTTCCAGGCGCCAGCGGTCCAATAATATTTGTCACTGCATTCGCGCAGTTTGCAGATCTGCTCACCAGTCGGTTTTTGATCCATTGGACAACCTTCCGTCGGTGTCGGGTCGATCCATCCGTAGAGGTTCACATGATGGCAAGTGACCGCGCGACGTTGTTTACCTTCGCCGCACTCCGCCGAACACTTGAAAATAATAAACGCGTTTGTTAGTCTCATTGTCATTGTGATCAAATATACATCGAAAATAATACAGGAATCATCCCAATGTTTCCATGATCAATAATTGTGTTTCGTGTAACGAGAGAACGTATTGAGAAAGATTATCGTAATAGGGTGAAATATTGCGTGAATGTAAAAGTTTTGATGAATTTCGCGATAGGGAAACAAACTAAGTAACTTTATTAAAAACGATTTATCCATACCACCAAATAATCCTCATTATTTTCTATTATCTTTCGCGAACATTCAGGCAGCATTCGTACACCTCTATCATCAAAGATGACTGGTTTTTCGTCTAAGAATGTTATAGGTTGTGAAAAGTAGTGAATTTTCTGTCATTCGAATTGTTTTGAACCAACTAAATAAGTGATCATTTTATGGAGAATATGTAATGGAATATCTTAGTTTAGATCCCCGAACTACATTGCGCTTGTATCAGAGTATTGGGTTTAACATTATCGTGATAGAAGACAACGCTTTTCCGTTGACTAAAACCGGATGTTTTCTTCAATTGCTACTTTTAAATTATCCAATTGTAATATATTTTGTATATTTGTCAATAGTCAAGTATATCGTATATACATTGATCTGAGCAAGATACGTTCTCTCGTTATATACACGTTCAGATATGTGACATGTACTCCTGTCTCACTAAACTGTGCAAATTTACGCGAACGACTTAAAATCAGACACATGCTCATGCATAATCTGAAACAAAAATGTAGATCGTTCCAGGCCGTTGTTATTTCACGAATGTAACCTATATAGAATGTTTGATATATACGATGAATATTTCATCAAATGGGAATATGCAGCGTTTTACCCTCTTCAAGTGTTATCTTAATATTAATGTTACATACGTGATTATGTATCACAACAAAGTTTTCTGAATCCGCTAAATAAAGTGCACAGGTTACACACACGTTAGTAATGATGATGCACGCAAGAAATCCTTTCGCATCGAATTGAATGCACAATCGTTATTTTACATTATTATTTCTATATTAGAAAAGATATCGAGAATAATCACCTATATACCTATAAAAATAAATGTTATTTTACAGGATGTCCACGAAAGTACTTTCAAGTTTCATAGATATATTCCATATTATGCTTCATCATTTTGGCGCGAACAACCTTTCGCTTATCCGATTAATTCGCTTATTCGATTAATTATTATCCGATCTCAATTTTCAAAAGCTGTTTAATGAATACTAGACTTATATTTCGTAATTTTTGACATTTGAGATATAAAACATGTCGAACTAATACTTTTGCAAGATTTATTAAACTTACGAGAGTGGAAAGAGATCTTCGTGAACATCCTCAATTTTTCAACAATGCGAGAGTAACATGCATGAAAAAGACCAGCACATTTCAAATAACGAGAATGAAGGAACATTAAATCGCCAACGTATCTCAGCCAAATTTGATGACATCCCTTCGATAATTATCGATCAACAATCACCATGCACCTTCCATGGTCCGTTGTATCGTCTAAGGAGCCCATTCCCGATACGATCCATCAAGATTAGTTACTTATGAATATATTCTTGGTGCGATAATCGTTATTTCCTTTGCAGTACACATATACACACAAACATACGTACAAAGATACGTGCGTAACATAGGTAACTCGTTTTTACTTTCACGTTTTGCTCTTGAAGGCTAACGAGACGTTAAACACACGTAAAATGGAATATAACAGCAAGCTATTACGAGTGCAATGCTGGCATAAGAGGTAGAGGTACAAGGATACCTCCGACCAGGTGCCCTCTTGCCAAGTATAGTCGCAGGCAATACGCTGGCATAATCTCTGCGATTTTGGTTTGCGCGGTTTCGTTCTCGAGCACAGCTCATCCGTAACGGGTATTTCCGGCCCATGGTTGCCTCTTCTGATTATACATTCCACTCTTCGCGTCTGAATCCCGTAGCCGCACGATTTAGAACACTGCAAAATATTTCGATTCGCTGCAAACTTGCCACACATTACCACTCACAGTGGTCACATTTGGCGAGAAATCATATCGCCACCATTACCAACCATCGCAACACTTGATTTTGCACCCCATATTTTCTTTTTTAATATTTACTAGAACAATGCAAGCGCACGCTACGCACACGCTAGTTAAATTGTGCTATATATATATATATAAACATGTAACATTTTAATAATTACAAGACACAGGAAAACTCTAATATCTCCTGCCATCCTCTACTCTCACGCTCTTTCGTTCACTCACTCGCTCTCTCGCTCATACATTCGCTCACTTGCTCCTTCGCTCGCTTACTCGGTCTCTCACTCTCTTATTCACTCACTCACGCAAATTAAATCCTGATAACTATCGATAACTATCCTTTACCCACGTATTGATTGCAATTCGTTTTTAATTATCAGAGAAGTCAGAGTCGAGAACAGTAGTTTTATCAGTGAGAGATATCGTTTTGCGACTACTATTTCGTACGACAGTATTAGCGAGTGTTACTTACGGGAGTCCAATCAGACATTCTCCATCTGCGGACAATGTTGAAATCGAAATTATTCTCCCTGCTGTTTTTAGGACCGCCTCTGCAAGGCTCCTTCTGACATCTTCGTATATGCTTCGGTCGTTGGTCAGTACACTCCCTGTCCGGTAAAGTCTCGCCGTGATGGCTTTGACAACGAACTTGACGATGCTGGAATCCATGATCGCATTCCATATCGCACTAAATAATTTCAAACGTTGAAAGAAACATTAGTTACACAAGTTAATATGACGTTGATATTATAAAATGATTTCGATTCAATTTACCGTTACATTCGGTTGTATACAGATAAAATCAATGCAAATCACATTAACATAATAGGATTAATATGTAAGTCATAATGTATTAATGTATATGGATTTACCTCACTCCAGTCACCGGTAACCCAAGTTGGACACGGATGACGATTGCAGGCGCTCCTGGTTACCGGTTGTTGACGTGAGTTGCAATAATAATCGGGCGCAACAGTTCCTGCCTCCGAGGACACACACTTTACGATCCTGCTTCTGTATCCGGTATCGCACGCCTTCGAGCACTGCACGCAAATGACGGTGAATGTAACATCACGTCACAAGCGTTATAATATCATTATCTTAAAGTAATGATAACGAGATAATCCCTAACAAAATCAACGAGCCTACCTCACCATACGATCCTGTATGCCACTTGTAACCAGAGTGGAATGTGATGCCGTTGCTGTCAATTTCGTTCTCTTGTTGCGAAAGATCTTCGCGCGATGGGTTAGACGAGTAAATGATCGGTGGTAGGCTCGCCTGCGAAACGGATCTTCCTTTATCTTATACATAACAGATAGCTTCTAATGAGAATATGAAACACCGTGTTGAAATGCACTACATGGCAAAACGCGAAATATTCTTATCTTATTCCATCAAGCCGACCATCGGACGGTTTATAAACAAACAAAGTGAAGGTATATGAGTAATGAAAAATATTTGTTATCAGGCAACTGTAAATTTACATTATTTTTCAATAAAATTCCTTTACACATACGGTGTGTGAAGGAAAGATCAAAATTTATAAAGATACTATACGGAATTATTAAGTATATTACGTATTACTTACAACAGTAGGGCATGGTTTCAGCGTACAGGAAGCAGAGTCATTCGGTTTCTCCAACACGGGGCATTTGTCACTCGTCATGCCGTCGGCACTTTTGCAGACAACTTTCCTTCGTAGCGTTCCTTCACCACACGTCACCGAGCACTGCACAATAAGAAAGTAGATTCAATCCGGCAGTTCGCAATACAAAACCGACATAAACTGCATTCGCTTTGGGCGCTTACGCGCTGAAAGCGTTATTCTATTTTTCTTTGGCGTATAATGAGCAACAAAGGTAGAATGACGCTTTCAGCGCGTGACCGCCCAAAGCGAACGCAACCACTGTCACCCAAATCGCGGTGCATACTAAACTATGCTATTGTGTTTGAACACTTATCGAAAATGTCAATGCGGTATTTCGCTAGCCTGCATAAAGATCAATGATCTAAGGAACAGTAATGCGAATAGATGATTAGCGGATTTATATAATAAATCAAGCTAAGTATTCTTATAATGTTCCGATAATTCGAACATCGTTTAATCATTTCTGTCATAAGATTATTCGAAAATAAAAAGTCGTCACTTTAATGCAATAATTTCATCATCAGTATTGAGTTGTGACGCAAGAGATTTGTTCTATATGCCGTGCAAAACCGAGAACGAAATTGTGAAGTAACTTTCATTAATCGGAAAAGATAGTCGTCGATATACTTTGTCCAACTATAAAGAAAACTTTCTTGCAATTTTTTAATAAAAAAAAAAAATATATATATATATATATATATATATATATATATATATATATATATATATATATATATTAGAATCAAGGATAATTTTCTCTAAGGAAAACACAAACTACATAAGTAAATATTGGTCTCGGGTGATGATGTACAGTACCGGACTCCAGTCGCCGGCATGCCAGTAATGACAAGGACCTGCATCGCAGACCTCCGTCGTTCCGTTTGGCGTACCGCTGCAGTAGGTACGCGGTACCACGCGATTCTCGACATGACACCAGGAGTCTCTGTGCCGTTTCCCCACGCCGCATGTCACGGAACACTGCGACATTTCGTGACGCGCGTTTTACATTAATTCAACTCACTCGTAAACAATACACGATACGCAGGCTGAGGCGGTTAAAGCGTGACGGACGAGCTGCTACGAGACCTCGCATTTCGCTTCACTTGAGACGCGTATCTTCAAGGCCGACACTTGAAGAGAGATACGTCGCACGCTTTACACGTCCCGCCCGGTGCGCGGTGCATATCTTACCGAACTCCATTCGCCCAGATCCCATTTCGGGCAAGCTTCTTGACCGCATATTCTCTTGAGATGCTTCTCCTGTTCGGCGCAGTTATCATCTCGCACCTGTCGCTCGTTCGAATCAACGCACTTTGCGTTTCTAAATTGCACACCGCCGCCGCACGAGACGCTGCAGCCGTTCCACTCGCTGTAGCTCCAATGAGCGTCGTCGCACGGGCCCATGCAAGGTTGATGTTCACTTGGTTTCTCGATGTGCGAGCACACGTGTGTCGATATCGGCTGTGGAGGATGCGTCGAGTCCAATGAGACTTGAACGCATCGCGAAGTGACTGTCTGAACGCCCGGACCGCAATGATTCGAGCACTCGGACACGGAAGTCGTCTGCCACCTGAGAAATAACAGTTTTTAATATAATCTAGTTGATAGTTCGTTAATAAAACAGCGTACAACAGATGCAACATGTATAATTTCGGATAATTTCTCAAACTGTTTTCTTTTATTTAAATAATTTGATATTCATAGCACTGAGAAGTTAGAAAATTCCACATCATGCGATCAACGAAACAAGTTGATTAATTTGTTTAACGAATCTAGTAAATAAAATTTGCCGATATCAAGCATAATATCTTCAAATGTGTTGTCCACTTACTGCAGCATGCAATACGCGTTGCATACTTGATTCTCCTCCTGCGGCTTATTCTCGGTTCTGCAATAATCATCAGGCACCACCTCTTTGTGCTCGGTACTCCTGCACTCGGCCCTACGATACTTCATACCCTGGCACATTTGACTGCAAGCCGACCAGTCGCTGAGCAGCCACGTGAAGCTGTTCAGAATCTTCTTCGGCACGGTGTATTCATACGTAATCTGTGGCGGATACACATTTCCTACGGATAATACCTGGAATGTCGTGTGTTTGCTTGAGCGGACTCGTGTCTCTTCAATCTACGTAACATAATTGTGATCGAAGATAATGAGTAGACCTGCCTCCAAAATTAGATCGATAGCGATCGGCCGAGAACTGTTGAGCCGCTCGACGATCGATTCCGGTCCGCTGTATTCGATGGTGACGCCCGGGTGCACGATCACCTTGCGATGCATTACCATGAAATTGCCGTTCAGGACGTATTCACCGTCCTCTCCGATTCGCAGTGCTGTACGACAATATATCGTGACACGTTTTCAGTCATCATCCAGTCAAAACTTTTGCAGAAATTAGTTCAAATTTCAGCGATAAACGTATTGCGAGATGCGGGAGGGGATTCGCTGTTTAATAATAAAATATTATACAAGCAATTTCCAAAGCGTAGTGTCAAATTGGCCATCTACTGGAGACTACGGACGAATAGATTTAGACACGAGGAGGTCTTACCGAGATAATTGCTATCATTGTGCGACCCCAGCCACCCGCGTTGCCTGATGTCGATGTAGCTGCTGCCGGCAGGAATCTTAGCCACTCTCGTGTAACCGTACGTGCTGGCGTTGTAGGAACCGGTGATCCTCTGACAGGTAGAATTGTCACCTCGGCAGACTCCGCAGGTATCGAGCTCTACTGTCGAATTCAAAACGTGATCGCATCCAGCCGGCTTACATTGACCGTTTACACATATATGAAATGTATCGGGGCCACAGGGTGTTCCGTCGATCACTTTATCGCGCAACATGTAATACTGATTGCTCTCCACTTGACAGTACAGCTTGCAACGATCTTGTGATAGTACTGTAAACGAAAGATTCATATTACGGTCATTTTCTTTCCGTGAAACTCTCTGTAAATTCAAAGTCGAATTAAGTTAATCACTAATCAAGATAAGTTGAGATAAATATAAAATGAATAAAAAGAAGACTAATTGAAATAAGACTAATTGAAATAACAAATCAAGCAATCGCTTACTTCTAGTATACTTTGCGTGCCACTTGACGTCTCTGGCGAGATTCTGAATGTTGAAGTTATTGTTATCGAATTTCGAACACTGCTGTTCTCTGCAAAAGGAAAGAAGAAAAGGAACGAGTGCTAATGTTGAAAGTAGAGAAGTGAATCATCGAGATTTATGGGACTAAAACACGATTATGTGCTACACGCTTCCATTTTATGCATTGTGTCGCCTTATTGACCTATTTTTAGCATTAATTGGTATAGTCATGCCCTCGTTGACTCATTTGTTCCTAGAAAGTGATTCTGAAGACTGGAGCAAACGATTTTCTCTTCAACTAAAGATAAAAATGTCAGAGACATTTCGGATAGAGTCTAATAAGTTCTCGAAAATTTTAACAAGTTGAAGCGTACCTGAAATCCGGACTACCCGGTGGACACTCCCTGATGCCGCAGCTGCGGTACTTGACGCGCTCGCCGACACAGTAATTGCCGCCGTTCTTCGGCGCCGGATTGTCGCACTCGCGATACTTCCTCTTGACACCACCGCCGCAGGTGCGCGAACACTCGCCGTATCTTCCCCATTCGCCCCACTGGCCGTCCACCGGTTCGAGATTCCTGCGAGAAACGCACTCGCCGCGGTGGCACCACTTGTCGGCTCCGCACGAGGTACCGTCCGCCCATGGCATGTGCTGGGTATGACACTGCTGATGATGATCCCACAATGGCGCGGTGCACCACAATCTCCTACACACTGCCTGGCCGGTAACCAACCAACCCCTCAGTTTACCTCAATTCTTAAGCAACAGTTCGTTCAATGCATATATTGCGGAGTTATCGATTTTGATAAAATTTCGAACTGGAACTTAAATTGAACTAGAATTTCGTTACTTTTGTATCTCAAAGAATTAGCTTTCTTACTTTCAACACAATAGACCGTACACTAAGCATTGAACGTGAGTATATGATAATAATATAATGGCAATGACGATAATGTAATGATGACAATAACTTTATTGGATGCTGTACCAGATGCAAAACTTCTGACTACTGTGTGCGTAGTAGACGTGTTTGGTTTGGGTGTGAGGCGACCAGAAGGCGAGGCAACAGTTCAGCAGCTGATACTACTGCCTTGCCTAATTAAAAATGTAGTCAAAATGACAACTATGTTTATTCGGCGGTGCGGTATGCGATGCCACACACGGACGAGACGATGCACAACGACGCTGACACAGCATGAATTTACGCAAATACGAATAACCTGTGAAATGAACTGACTACGGTTTACTCGATAGTGTATGACTCAACGCAGCAGAGCGAAAGGCTAAAAGGAGGAGGCAAAACGGACTTCAGGGAGATGGAAGAGAATAATAGTGCTTGATTGCAGTGAATGATAATGTATTGAGCTGCGTACACGCGCAGCTTTCATTATCGAGTCTCATTGCGTAAGAAGATCAGAGTTAGCTGGAATAATCAAAGGCGCGAATGAAATGAAAACGAAACAAGCAAAGGTGAAGAAGTGTGTCTTTTTGATCTCACGATCGACAATCAGTTTCAATCAGATCCGTGAAGAGAACGTTTTCGACTTACCATCACTCACCATGTGAGGGCAGATTCTGGAGCCTTGCCCGAAGACGAGCTCGCATTGCTTGTTCTCCGAATAATCCTCGCCGGGCAAGCGACCGTCCTGCCTTTCCATCATCTTGCTGGGCTCGTCCAACAAGCAGTTGGCGTAGCCGGCTCTGAAACAAGTTGAATTGAAGGATCTGGGACTTATGCTTGGTTGTCGTCAGAAGCATCATTAGACGATTTCGCATATCATTCAAATATCCCTTCGGGTTCACATTTTTTGCGACAACGAGTGAAACTTCTACGAGCTCACAAAGGTCGTTCAGAATCTCGTTAAATCGGATGACTACTCGCAACGACTCGTCTCCCACCCGGGAATAATTCGCGAAAAATATCATAAAAAAAAATCGCGATATCCTCCTATTTAGCTCCAGTTTTTGTCTGCAGTTAGCAGAACCAGAAAGTCCCATCCGATCGTAAAGGATTAAACTATATGTTATCATTGCCGCAGACAAGTTTCGAGAAATAGCCTATGATTATTCGAAGATTTCGCGAGAGTGTTATACAAAAAAGGGGCAGATTAACACGACACAGACAAAGCCTGCCTGTCGCGTAGCATGTTATGGTATCGTATCAGGTCGCGGTCGTGGGTCAACTCGTGATGATCTCTTTCCAGAGTGCTCCGGCGCGCCGTTCATAACCGAGTCGTTTGCCGACTAATGATTGACTCACTCGAGAAATTCGGTGACATAGTGCCGGGAGCATTTAGACCATTCCCAAGGAAAGGTATTATCGTCCAGCATACGGGACATCACGTTGTGCACACCCGAACGGTTCCTGAAACCCGCGCACTTGGGATCGTCATCATGCGGCATGTTGAGTCTGAAAAATTCATTTGGAATATTCCTCCTTAGAATGAAGAACATGGCGCTAACGACAATTGAAAGTGTAACAATAGCAGTAGTGAATATTAATGCTCTCTATTTGCGGATTCTAATGAAAAGATTATACAGAACGTAAGAATGGCACGTATTATTGCTGATAGTTACACTTACACATGACCAATTTCGTGCGCGATGGTAAACGCCGCGGCCAACCCATTGTCTTGTACAATAGCGCATGAAGATCCTGGCGAGCACATTCTACCAAGTTCGGCCAACCCCAGAGTGTCACAACGCTTCTGACCCGGATTGTGACACAAATTTTCTCTAGAAATCCATTTTGTATTCAGAAATGTACACACAATTCGTTTTGATATCTCGAATCTTAACTTCTTAAGATGCATTTTTCAGCTACTTTATCTGAATATCTTTAATCTAAACGTTCATAATGCTCACAAAGCATTAAAATAAATTATTTATGCATAAAAAATTCGACGTCATATTTACTATATTATTATCATATTATTTCATCTATATGGAATTATGCCATATTATTTCATCTGTATGGAATTATGCCATGCAAGATGTATAATCAGCGACAACAATATTGCATTGTGTTTCTTTACTATTTGTTTTGAATAATAGACGACAATCGCACATATGAGGACCGAAACTTGTGAAATTTAAAAAATATTGCAATTTTCTGCCATCGAGTAGTACGTCTATAATTTCAACAACCTGAAATGTGTGCGTCTAATACAAACCTGGTTAAAAGAAGTGCAGCATCGTGGTGTTCTGGAGAGGGCTCGTCCGGATTGTTGTGCTTCTGCCAATTGCAAAATCGCTTCAACATTTCAGCCGCCGCGATTCCGTCGCTTCCGGTATGCTTCTCACCGAACATTACATCGGTCTTGATAATCTTCATAACAGCTATGCTCACCGGATTACCAATCGACTGGTCTTTGTAGATTCGTGAGACCTATCCTTCCAGGGAACAAATATATTTGACAATATATTTTTGAGACAATATATTTCGTTGTGACGTATCCACAATTGCAGCGTATTGGATATACAGCACCGCACATTGCTGCATGACTTTGTGATTTTTATTCAAGTAAAAGAAATGGCATATTCGAACAAGCAATGACAATTTAACCAAGCTCAACAATACAGTGTTAAAAATTAGAATTGAGGAAACTGAAATTGAAAATGAAAAATAATCATCTCGTTTCTATTAAAAATCGTCTTCAAAATGATCGTAAAAGCCGAAGTTACCGATTGGAAGGATATTCGTCGATCTAGGACACGCTACACTGCTGTGCTACACAAAGCATCTATTTCGATCCAGTATGCTCTTTCATTCATAAAAGATTCATGAATCTCTTAAAGCCGATTGATAGTTAGTTATTAGGAAACGGGATTGAATCATCGAATGAATGACAGGCGTGGATTCGTGAAAGCGAACTCTCCGCAGGATGTTGCCCTCCGGTAAGGTGTGGCCTTCGCGTGGGATACGTAACTGGCGTAGTGCACTCGATAATGACCGCCATGACGAAGCTAACTGCCGAATTATATCGAATCAATGCTTCCCATCCCCTTCCTCTTCCTCTTTCTTGACTTTAGTAGAATATTTTCGAAAATGCATTATCACGTCATTCTTCTTCAACGCAAAATAATCTACCATAAAGCATAATATTTATACCACATGGCGCTATAATATCGGTTTTTTTCGATACTACAAAATGATCAGCTTACAATTAAATTAAAATTCAGTTAAAGTCAAAAGATAAATAGCAACGAAAAAATACGAGTCGTACCAATTCCACTCAATAAGAAAGAAACATAAATTACGAAACGTCCTCCTGTACGAAATAGATGCTTGAGAATTCGAGGAACTATTAGTTCCCATCCTAGACAGGGTCTTTTAGTTTCCATTTCCGCACCAATCTACAAGTATTCGAAGAGAATATGTACCCACCGTGCTCATTAGGACCAAGATATAGCTGATCAGGCCGCTACCGTGATAATCTACCATTTTCTTGTCAGCCACCACCATAATCTCGATGAAGTATTCGCGCGGTAATGCTCGCCGTGGTCTCCACGTGACAAAAGGATCCAAGTCTTGAGAGTGTCCTCCGTTCTGATAGCTGCGCTCACGTTCTATACTGTGGTATCTAGAATTCATAAAACGTACGTTATGAGCGCGCTTATATGCATACAACCAACTGATTCACTCAAGGAGTTTCTCCTTCCTTATGTTCGATTGGATCAGCTGAGTCTATTTGGAATATTCCTCCTTAGCATGAAGGAAAAATATTTCTCAGAAGGAAATCGATACCTATTGTCATGGTCCTCTTCCTCGAAGAGGGCCCGACGATACTCGCTCTGCTCTGTGAATCGCTCGTACTCCTTTTCCTCCTCCTTGGAACGTCTCAACGATGCGGTTTTCCGCGTCAATGATCTGCGCTCCCGCGGACGCTCCCCGACGTAAATCTTACCAGCGGAACTATCGTCCGTCGACGGAGAAGGGGTGTCGTTTAAGTCGTAATCTGTCGACATCGTAATGCTGATCACGATTATGTAAGCAATCGTATATTCACGAGATAATTCTTGCAATAGAAAAGATTGTCATCATTATATATACGTAACGTTGACAATTTTACTGTTGCAAATAAATGATCAGGCTGAACACGTTCGCGTGTATTTCACCGTAATTGCTTTTGATCGACTGGAGCGCGTTTACATTAGAAGGGAATATTGCGAAATTTTCCATTACATCGATCGATTGTTACGGGAAACCGTCAGCTTCTTACGCGATTTTTCTCTTTTGTATGAAATCCTCTCGCACACGAGAGAGATATCGTGCCAGGCGCATGTTGCAAACGACATGCACTTTCACCCGATCGAAAATACAGTATACATCGCGTAACTTTCTAGCGATTATCGAATATCTTATGTCTCTCTCGCGGTGAAAAGAACGCGTTCGTAATTTGCATGTTCGGAGGTGCGACGTAAAAATTGATCGGGTGTATTATCCCGCAGAGTACGCTTCTCGTGTCGCTATCGTCCCCGGCATCCTCGTTATCTTATTGCCGCATTGCAGTCATCGTTTAAATGTTACATATAAGTGAAAGTAAAATTACTAGGAGGCGAGGGGAGATAGCTGGAATTATATACGTAATAGTCCGGGGACCATTCATATTTCTAATACCCGACCAATACTCGTCGCGAATGAATACGAGTGAATAAATGAACCTTCGAGTCGCATGACTTCGTGGAGCGTTCAAGCGACGATCCATCCTTCGATCCGCCATGATCGAGTATCCGTAATAATTCGCTTCTTTTTTCGCGATCTCCGTAGGGACGAGAGAGAAAGAGAGAGAGAGAGAGAGAGGAAGGGCTCGAGTTGACTTCGGAGTTAATCAGGGTACCCGTTAGCCCGACACGATCGCACCGAGTCAATGACTTTTGCATATCGGAGAATCGATCGTTCTCGTCGGAGATTGCTAGAGGCTCCACGTACTTAACGAGAGCCACGTAATCGGCGCGTGCCGTCTGTCTGCTTTTCCCGGCACGCCTCGTCGCAGCCACGTTCCCGTGTACCTCGATATCTCGAGAAACTAATGATAAAGAAGCCATTTGTAATGTTAATACTTCAAACACTTTAGTTCATTAACCTTGCACTTGGCTCTTTGTATCTTATTATAAAAAATCCCAGTTCTCAACGGGTCATGTGACTGTGGAGGTGATATTATCTGTCCTGGCGAAGGAATGGTTGTCTCATCTCGACGTCATATTATACGCAGGAGCGAGAATCTTCTCTCATTGTTCACGCGTAAAGCAATTTAGGCTTATCGTGACTAATTGATCAACGCGCTATTGATATCGTATCGTCGCACAGACGGACTCGAGGTTGGCGTTATTTTGAAAAGATCGCAGCCGCGCGAGAGACCCGAAGCGATACACGAGGAGATGAGAATATTTGGACAGTATACCATCGACGACGTCGTTTTGTAGGCAGAGAGTACCGCGCGTCGCCAAGCTGTCTCGATGGTACATCAGAATCCGCCGGAGGAAAAACGTAAATGCCTGAACCTGTTTCGGTAGAGGTGGTCGTGCGAGTATACGCTGAATGAAAAAAGACGCGATACCTTCTCTCCTCTTCGAGTCCTCCTCGCGCACGTGAACACGCGTTTCACGTCGGGAGATGAGTGTTAAGTTGGTGCAATTGTGGCCGCGCGCCCAAACACGGAAGAGTATACATTTCTTTATTTATTTGACGATTATATTAAGGCACACACTGACAGATATTCGATCGCTGAGAGATATCTAGACCAATAGGAGCCTTATAAGATGACAATTGCAAACTTTATCTACGTGAGGATAATAAAGTCGACAAAATATCACGCTATTATCCAGCATAACTCTTATTGGACTAAATATTTTTTTCAGCAATTTATTTAACTTATTTCTCAATTTATTGTAGATTTGCTTCAATCGCACCGATATGATTATATACGTGCAAAATTGATAATGCCGTATCGATCTTTCCTATGTAAAGAGAATATCGCGAATGAAATTAGTTATAAATGTACGAGTGAAAGTCGACTTACCTATCACGCCGCAGTTGTGATTCCTGATTTCGTCCTCAGTAATATCGAAACCAGTGTCTTCGGTGAAGCTGGACGACGCCGTCGCGGGTACACGGTAGATCGCGTGTTGCAACGAGGATCCAAGGGAGTCTTTGTCATCTTCGCGCCAGTGTTCCGTGGGTTTGATGAAGTAGCTTCCCATAGACGTCTTCATGTGACCGGTCTAAAAGTTACAACAAAAATTCGAACGGTATTACACGCAAAAAAAGAACTAGCTTCCAGAGCTAAAAAATAGTTGTGGCAGATAAGATGCGTCACTGAAATAGGGACAGCTAATATCGATACTACCGAAGCTAAATTTATCCGCTGTTTAAACTTAGGCGCTACAGCGAGAAATATTAGCTGCTAGAAACAAATGACTGTAGCAAATGATTGTAGCTGTGCGATAAAATTTTTTAATATATGCATACGATAAGAAATTTAGGAATAACTGCCATTTTCTTAGCTATTTGAAATAATGTGCATTTTTAATGTCACCTAATATATTTGTATTTCATAGAGAATGCATTTTAGCTGCCATAGCCAATTCTTAGCAGTGACAGCTAAACGATTAGCCTTTTGACTAAGTTTGAATCAGCTACCGCGGTTTAGCTGATATTACTAAGTCATTTTTTTGCGTGTACGATTATCGCATTCGTTAAGGTTGATTATCTTCGTAACCAAGTTAAATCCAATCAAAATCCTATTAAAATATTACTTTTGTCGATTGAATTTATCTAAAGCTCACTCAGAAAACGAGCTAAACAATATGATTTGTCCTCAATTTGCCTTCCCGAATTTCAAAAAGTTCTAACAAAACGCATCTTATTTTCACTTGTGGGCTCAGGACTACTATACAGGTGCTTCTCATTGAGCGACAAATCAATTCCAAATCGACCACGAGCGACCTACAGCTAAGAGAATGTTTGGTAGTTTCGCGAGATACTCTTCCGCATGAAAATAGTTTTCACTAGTAATATCTCTGACTTCCAGAGAGCGTGGTCTATTTAGGGATCAGTTGTGCCCCGACATTGCACTATGTGAGAACTTCACTTCCTCGATCCGAGCATATTATGCGGCAGGAGCAGCCGAGAGTATGCTCCCGCTAAATATAATCCGCCTACGTGCATTCCGCGTGCGAGCAAATCTGGGGGAAAGACGCGCACGGATGTGCACGAGTATAGACGAATCGAAGGAGAATTCTCTATTCATAAACACAATGCAATCTGCTATTTAGCAGATGCAGGAGACACCGTTGAAATCAGTCCTAACATTAAAATTCTTCATGTTAAAACAATATATTATTTTTTAAATCGTTGTTCATGTCAAGCATAGAAGAAAGATTGGAAATCTCGGGAAAAAAGCCTGACAATCTTGAGAAAAAAAGTCTGAAAATCTTGGAGAAAAAATCTGAAATTTTTGAAGAAAAAAGAAACTATAAATATATAGAAGTCTTGAAAAAAGTCTAAAATTTTGGGAAAAAGTCTATGTAAGTCTTGGAAAAAAGTCTTGGAGAAAGACTTGGAAATCTTGGGGAAAGACCTTGGGGAAGTCTCGCACAAAGATCTTGGAAGTTTGCCTGGAAGTTTTAGAAAAAAGTTTGGAGACGTGCAGATCTGGTGTATCTCCATGACTTCCAGATCTTTTTCCGAGTTTCATATGTGAGAAAAGGAAAAATGAAACAAGAATCCACAAGTTGAAAAAAAGTATCCGAGATATTTGTTCGTGCGCGCTTCTGCGACGCGCCAATAAAAAGTCGAAAGTTAGTACATATCTGCGCTATTTCTCTCTTTGCCTAAAAAGAATGTCGAAAGATTAATAACGATTCTATTCAGAAGACCCATAATCGAACTCGTCTTTGAGGAACGATCAAGAGACGGTCGCGAGATAAGCTCTAAAAGAGGGTAATCGGTTTGGTCGATGATAATCAACCAGCAGGACAGTAATCGACCAGGTAGTCGGGAAAGTCGACCTTATTAATTGTTGCCTCTAATTACGGGAGCTCAAGCTGTCGTCGGCATCGTGAATCACTCGTCAACTGCTCTAATGACACACTACGCTTCGTTACGGGAGTTACGGGTGAAACTGGCTTAAGCAGGCAATAAAGGGATATTTATCGATTATCAACGCTGTCTTAGCACGACCCGCGCGTGCTTCTCCGTAATTTCCATATACTGCGAGCGAACGTTGTACGGCTCGTTTCCTTCTAATTTGCGACGAATTAAATCTAGAAGTTGTTTACGCCGTTCCGCCTGTTAAACGCGTGTTAACACACGTGTGTGACTATCGCTTTCATAATCGATCCCGTGTATGTTACGCACTGTAAAAAGTTATGTGTGTCGAAATGATGATAATATGAGAAATGCCTGTATTTAACGGCGAATTTTATTTCACTCGAAAGAAAATTAGTGAGACTTCGAGATTTTCTTACATGTTCCTAACATTATATCTCATTATTATATTGTTATTGCTGTCATTATCATCGATTATTCCATAATTGTAGTCTTCTGGCAGCTCACGGTTTTTGCCCGTTGAGATAAATTGAGCAACAATTTACGAGATCTATCCGATCGATCTTGCGTCGTTTATGAATGTTCTCATTAGCAGCGTTTTCATTTTTCGGAAAATAATCGATCGTTTCGCTCGACCGGGCACGGGGGTCGAGAACCGTTGATTCCGAGTAAACTTTCACCGAACAAGTGAGATTTTACATCGAAATTATTTATAAATGTGATATATTTCACGTAATTGACAGAATATCGCACGTTGCGCGTTTACGTAAAATAACAGACGATTCGAATCCCGTTTATTTTCAGTCACGGCGACGTGTACAGATGCTGTTAGAAGAGCGCTATTTACAAACAAAGCGCCGTCCGTTGTTATCCTATCCGCTAACACCGATACGTTAACACTCTGATTAAACATTCTAACGGAGATGGACTCTCCCATTTATTTGTTTTTTCGGAATGCGGAGGTTCTCGACATTTGCACACGTGTGCCGCGAAGCACGCGATGCCGACAATGATCTACTTAAAATACTTACAGAACACGAGCAACTTTTAATATAGTTAAGTTACGTCTCAAGTTAAATCTTCTGTCACGTACCGTTAAATAATTCTTCTATTAAGTTAGCGCGAAAGATTTATCGGCGTATTTAATAAATATTCGTAGACTCGTCACTGAATTGAGTATTAAAAGAGCTAAATTATTAAATTAACATGAATTCGATCGGTGATGATGCTAAATCAATGAAGCTCATTGACACAAATATATAGGAGAACCTCTTTTAGATGTTTAAAAAAATATCGAGTCGACAGTGCGTGTTTTACTCATGAGTATTGCCAATATCTCAAAATCAAACAAATTTATTTTCAATTTTATCCGCTAAACACGACACAAACTTTTGGCCGTAAACCTCAACCTCATCCACGTCAACTCGACCATTTCTCACTGGGTGAAAATTTTATAGACGATGTACCGGTGCTGAAAAGCAAATATTTAAAATGATGTGCATTCTCTCACTACTTGACTTCCTTGTACCATGTGTGTGTGTGTTGCGTGCATATCTGTGCGTGAAGAGTTTTCCTTCCCTCACAATGAAGACCCACGTCCACCTACACGTTCTACGTTTCCCTCCTCCTTTCCCTCTTCCACTGTACGTTTCTCTCGTCTTGTCTTTTCAGTAGTAAACCCGCAAACGCTGAGTAAACCCACAAACGCTGAGTAAACCCACAAGCGCAGCGTAAACCCACAAACGCATCCGATATTTTGCGTCGAGTCATAGCCGCCACCGGTGAGAAACTCACTCAGCACGTGATGCAAAACAGGAAATTCGTCGGTCCGGTGTCGATGCGTTTCCCATCGAGTCGGCTGTGCGAGTAAGCGAAGAAGAGTCGAGGTTCAGCGCGACTCGCCACGGCTGCGAGCAATCGGACCTCACAGCGGCTCGTCCGATTCGCGCTCGCGATTTGCATTCTCGCAGGCATGCACCTTCCCCCGCGCAGTTATTTCGCGGCACAAAGAACGGCTTGACGAATACCGAGAACTCTCGGCGTGCGGAACGTCGTTTTTCTCTATTCGCTTTTTTCTTCGTCTATATACGCCTCAATCTCGCTTTTCTATCCGCCCTTCCCCTCCTCTTCTCGGACAGCCACCTTTTCCGTTTCGCATGTTCGATCAGCGAATAAGCCGTCTATCGTACAGTAATCATCCGCCGAGGAGAAGATTGTCGATCTCCCTCGGAAGAGAGAGTCGGAGCTATTTCGAACTCGATGAAATTTTCCATTCGACGAAAATGACCTTCGTCGACGACGAATAAATTCGTCTTATCAGGGGCAGGATAATTCAGGTTTATTCGAAAGTGTTGCTCATTCGGGACAAACCCGACTGAAATCTTATCGATAAAGAGGTAAAACTCGAGAATCTACGAGGACGTGTCGTCCGTCCCGACAAAAATCCGCATCAAGCTTAGATCAACCGAGAGAACCGACGAGAGCCATGACGAAGACGACACTGATTTTAAAGGCGCATTACGAGGAAACGGCATCGGATCGCCAGGCGAGTATACTTGCTCGGAACTCTGCTAGGAAGACCGCAAAAGTGCTGACCACGTCGGTCACGGCCGTAGCCGCGACGCGCTCTCGTTTGAGAATTCGCGTTTGAGAATATTGCACTCGCTAGTCGCTATTTGGAGCGCTCGCGCGCTCCCATAAATCCGCGGTTTACGCTGAAACGTGAGAAAAGCAAGCACCGCCATGTGACGGGAAAACGTCGGGCGAAACGTGTTCTGGTATCGCCGCGATGCAAGGATACCGAGGAAAAAAAAAGCTTCCAACGATGTTACCGAGAAAAGTGTGCGCGAGAGGCGTCTCGCGAGACAGTGTGCATGCACGTTTCGCATGCAGAGAGCCAGACGTTAAATTAAAGGCGGCCAGGCATCAGGCCCAAGAGAGCGAGAGTTATCTTTATTTAGGTTCCGCTTAATACGCAGAACATAATACATCATAATAAAAGGTGACTGGCTGTAACGTACTCGTGCGGCCTGCCATTAAGAGGAACAACGACGGGCTCCGCAGTAATTCGATGCAGAAACGCGTCTGAGCGCGCCGTACGCGAATTCGGAGCGCTCCGAGCGGCCGGTTTCTAGTCTTTAGGCCGACACACGCAAAAATAAAAGTTGCAACA